GCAAAAAAGAAAAAAATTAAAGAAATCTAAATCGCAAAATAATTAAACAAGCGAGTGCCTGTTTTTCCTGGCCAAGGACAGGTTCCTTGCACACAACACGAGCGTAACGTGTCTTCGGAGGATGTTGTAAAAATGTAAAGAAAAAAGGTTCCCCACCCCTGCTGTAAATAATAATAAAAACCCTTGATTTATAACTTAACATCTCTGTCTCCTATTGATCTGAGTATATTATAAAGAATAGCCAGTTAATTGAAGCCTTATAGCACAGGCCTTTGTCAGATGGTATATTACGCTGTTTTTTTTCTGCTTCGAATAGTTCTCTCTTTTTTCACCATACCTGTGTTTGCATCACTGATATATATATATATATTGTTGAGGTAAAAATGTGGAAGTGTTGTGGTTCAGCTGTATGGTTCGATGCTGAGGATTGTGGTAGTGTTGTATGGCAAGCTATTACTGGGTTGGGTTGATTTGTATATATTCTGTATGGTGGCTTGACTGGGTGTAGGAAATCAAATAACATCTTGCTACATAGCACGATCAAATCTAACACACTCTGGCCTCAAATGTTTTTGAGTAAACACAGCAGCCTTGTTTGGAAACTGCAAGCTGGAAGTCAACAACAGACAAATCACACATGGAAGTAAGTGCAGTTGATAGACCTACATACAGCTGCTAAAGCTCTGCAAGACTTGGCACAGGTTTAACTGTTAGTATTGAATTCAAGCCCTGACACCTGATAGCTCAGACATGAAGGTCAGTTGTGCCAGCATAGCTCTCATTTAGCTTGTTTTACCACAGGTGCTTGTGATTGAGCGGAAGAATGATGACGGCACGTGGCCCAGACAAGCGTCCCATCCCAAGTAAGCAAACACCTTGTTGTTGTTTTTGTGTCATTCAGGAACATTTGGTAAATTGTACCCTAGTATAGACTTTTAGAGCATTTACTATAAACACAGTTTGTCAAGTTTAAACAACATGCTTTCTAAATGATGATTTTGCTCTTGTTCCCCAGATCAAGTACAACCCCATCCAGGAATTTCACTACCTCCCCAAAACTCTCCTCCAACTCAACAGCCAGTATCTCCTCCACAGTGACCAATGGAGACAGCAGCCCTGGCTACACACTCAACAACAGCACCTCCTCTGGCAACAGGCAAGGGCTCTCTGCTTCACTCTTTACTCCTTTCTCAGAGAATAACCTTTGAACTCCTGGGCGTTTACTGTGTGCTTCATGTGGCATGGGATGGGACATTTCAGAGGTTTGATGGAAAGGCTGGTCTGAACGCGCCCTTCATTTTCTTTTGTCCCAGTTACTTCCTCAGCTCCTGTCGATTTGTTACATCTCCACAGACTCATTGCATGTTATAGTGAAACTTGCTCATGCTATATTTCTCATGCCTGTGTATTTTATATAATATTAAATGTGGATTCTCGCACATTACTCTTGCAATTAATGTATTATGTATTGAACCGGTGTCTGTTAAGCCTCTACAGTCCTTCACCAAAGCATGAGGTCTCTGTTAAAAAAACAAAAAATGTAATAACAGATTACTAATATTTAGTTATACACTGTTACACAAGTATGTGCTTTTCATCTTCCCGTAATATCGAAGTCTTTTATAGCGCTTCTGCTTTTGATTGCTTCAATCCATTTGGCAGTTTCCATTTGGCAGTTTGTTTTGTTTTGGGTGTGTTTAGTTTACTTTCAATGGCCACCCAGTGTGTCACCCAGGGAGAAGTGCGTGTCAACACCCATTTAAAATGTGTTATGAAAGGTGTAGATACACTACAGCACTAATCATGTTGCATTGTGAGGAACATGTTGTTAAAGAACAAACAGTAACTGCACTGTGGCAGCATGGCTCCGTAATGTGCTTACTTGAAAAAGCCTTATGGTTTAAAGGTGCTTGCTTTAGCTATTTGTGAAGTTCACTGCTACCTAGAGCTTAGTGGGATTACAGAAGAGTTGGTGTATTATTTTCAAAATGTCGTGGAAGAATGCAGGTTAATTAGAACGACCTACAAAACAAACTACTTATTGAGTTCATGTTACTGCATCTAAAGCCGTTAAAATGTGTCCAACTCGTCTCCACATGGGAGAGTGGAGACGCATCACAATATAATGATTTTGAACAGGGTTTAGAAGTGTTTGACCATTGTTGTGTTGGATAGCATTTAGGTATAGCTAATAAACTGCCATCTCAAAGTAGATAATATTGCCAAAGCCCACTCCAGAGGAAAATATTGTCAAATAACTCTGTATGAAGAATCGTTTTTAAATGCTCAGTGTTTTGGAAATACAATGTTATATTCAAGAGACATTTTTGTGCTCACATTTAGGCACAGCATACTTTTAGTTTTTTATCTTAGTAGATAAAGGTACCATATCAGCCTCCTGCTGAATATGTGCCTGTGTGCTCAATACAAAATGTAATATCAAATGCAAAATAAGAGATTACAAATGTCAATGAATTGGAATATGTCATTGAGAATTTGTTTACTAAAATAAAAAAAACATTTAGGATTTTTACCAACATGTTGAACTACCCTGGGCTTCTGTGATCATAACTTCTTGGACATACAGGACTGTCTCAGAAAATTAGAATATTGTGATAAAGTTCTTTATTTTCTGTAATGCAATTAAAAAAAAAAAAAAAATGTCATACATTCTGGATTCATTACAAATCAACTGAAATATTGCAAGCCTTTTATTATTTTAATATTGCTGATTATGGCATACAGNAATTTGTTTACTAAAATAAAAAAAACATTTAGGATTTTTACCAACATGTTGAACTACCCTGGGCTTCTGTGATCATAACTTCTTGGACATATGTTTGTCCTGGATTTGCACACCGTTGTGTATTCTAAATGAGTAGGAGACAGTGTGGTAGCCTAGGCAATATTATAGAGGTGTACATGTTGTCTCTTGAAGTGGTATTTTGTCAATGTGATATTTTATCCTTATACCATCATTGAGTGTCATGCTTGAAATGATTGGGCTTTATTACAGCACAGTGTCTACGAGGTTACCCTTAGTAACAGATCTGCTCTTCCAACAGATTGGGAAGCTACAATTCTTACAGTTCCTCCTACAATTACAGAGAGTCGCAGTCACAGCCGGGCCTGTGTGGTCTCAGTAATTTGGGCAACACCTGCTTCATGAACTCTGCCCTCCAGGTATGGAAAACAAACGACTAATACTACAACTTCCATTCAGAGAAAGTCAATTGCCATGTTTTTGGGTTTGGATGTTCACATCATCTACTTTTCTTCTTCCAGTGCCTGAGCAATGCATCCCCACTCACAGAATACTTCCTCGAAGACCATTACGAGGCAGAGATTAACCGAGAGAATCCCCTGGGCATGAGGGGCGAGATAGCGGAGGCCTATGCAGATCTAGTGAAGCAGATGTGGTTGAGTCGCAGCAGCTATGTGGCCCCACGTACCTTCAAGACCCAGGTGGGCCGTTTTGCCCCTCAGTTTTCAGGTTACCAGCAGCAGGACTCGCAGGAGCTGCTGGCCTTCCTCCTCGACGGACTCCATGAAGATCTGAACCGCGTCAGGAAGAAGCCTTACCTGGCCGTAAGGGATGATGACGGACGGGCAGATGAGGTACAGCGCAAACATAGAAACAGCGTGTGTTGGACATTTTGTGGTGTCGATTTCTAGAAGCATTTTACTTATCAAAAATCAATCTTAAAACTGCTTTCGAATGCTCAATCTGATGTAAAATGATGCTGCTTAAATATCTATTCTCACAGCACTCGCAGTTTTGTTTGATTTAATGTTGAAATGATGTTAAAAGATTTGACTGAGCTACAAGACATGGCTTAGGCTTTTCTTTTGAAACTTCACATTGTTTTATTTGGATAGTAGCGATAAATGCTTCAATGAACTACTTTGCAATATCAAGCTGCCCCTTTTCTTCAGAGGTTTAACAATGATGTCTAATGAATGTTGTTCTGTTGTTGTTACAGATTGTTGCAAAGGAAGCTTGGACCAACCACCGCTTGCGCAACGACTCTATCATAGTTGATATTTTCCACGGCCTCTTCAAATCCACTCTGGTTTGTCCAGAGTGCTCCAAGGTGTCTGTGACCTTTGACCCCTTCTGCTACCTCACACTGCCTCTGCCCATGAAGAAGGACCGGACTATGGAGGTGTTCCTGGTGCGATCAGACCCTCAGTCCAGACCCACACAGGTGAGGTGGAATTAACATCAAGGGTCATTGCTTTAGACACAAACTATAAATAAAGTAATACTTAGTAGTACCAACAAATTAATACTTTGCATTCGAGATTTTATAAACAGTTGGCTTTGTACTTGGTGTTTAATTTACTAATGAATCTTTACTTAAATATTGTTTTCCCCCCAACAGTATCGAGTGGTGGTCCCAAAACTGGGTTCAGTGACAGACCTGTGCAGCGCCTTGTCCAAGATCTGTGGATTCCCGTCTGAAAATGTTAGTACTTATTGCTTTTTATACTTCTAGCTTTAAATGTTCTTAATGTTGGGTTTATATGGAAACCACATGTGCTAACTTTGCAATTGTATTCTCTTTTTAGATGGTGGTTGCTGACGTTTACAATCATAGGTTCCATAAAATATACAGACGCGATGACGGCCTGAACCAAATTATGGAAAAAGATGACATCTTTGTGTAAGTCTCGTTAACGACTGAAAGCTGAGATGTTTATAAATAGTCACTGGGTTTGCAGTTTAATAAGAGGTGTGTGCAATGTGTGTGTAATGTGTGTGTTTGTGTTGTTGCTCCTTGCAGGTACGAGGTACAGGAAGAGGACAGCGAGAAGATGAACCTGCCTGTGTATTTCAGAGAACGCCACTCCAAGCACGCAGGAAGCTCCAGCAGCACCATGCTGTTCGGTCAGCCTTTACTCATCACCGTGCCCAGACACAACCTCGTAGCAGACGTTCTGTACGAAAAGATCCTAGAGAGGATTGGGTAAGGCCTTAGAGTAAAGAGGAAACAACATGACACTGCTAAAAACGTGAGTTGTGAGTGTATTTCCTGGTTAATTAATCTCCCTTGTTTCCTGTTGCAGGCGCTATGTAAAACAATCCCCGACCCCGAACGGTGAGAGCAGGGCCTCGGCCTCAGCCTCGGCCTCAGCCACGGCCTCAGCCACAGCAGCCTCTGCCAGCTGCAGCCAGGCTCCAGAATGTTCCACAGCGTCTAATGCCAACGCCAGCCTGGGTGGCTGCGGCAGCCCGCTGTCAGACGGGGCCTCGTGCAGTGCCAGCTCCAGCAACGGCAGCAGCCACTCAGGGGCCTGCCATGAGACTAACGGGGTATACGATGGTACGCAGCCAACGTTATTCATCACCAAAAAAGAGTAGAAGGAGAAAATGATCTGTGCCCAACAAGTCCAAAGGATTGATTTCATTGTGGGGTTTTTAGGTGATGAAGCCATGGACCACCAGGTGAGTCCAGAGCCAGAGAACGGCCACTCCGAAGAGGACGAAGAGGAGGCGTCTGACTTGGAAAATGGCTCCAAAGGAGACACACCCAAGAAGAACTCTTCCCCCAAGAAGAACTCTTCACCAGCCAGGCTCTTCTCTTTCAGCATCGTTAACTCCTACGGAACAGCTAACATCAGCCCGCTGCCCTGTGATGGAAATGTGCTCAAACTCAATCGTAAGTGCTAATCTTTTGTACTTATTTTATTGACCTTTATCTTTTTAAAGCAACTTTGTGTTGACAAAGCCTCCCCACACTCCTCTTCTCTGCAGCACATTCCACAGTGGCGATCGACTGGGACTCGGAGTCAAAGAAACTGTGTTACGACGAACAGGAAGCAGAGGTCAGTAGGGGAGCGTTCAGCACAAAAAAATCCTGTCACAATATATCCAAACAGTCTATTTATGTGTGTGTGAATGCTGTGTCCAGGCCTATGAGAAGCACGAGAGCATGCTCCAGCCCCAGAAGAAGAAAGCCACTGTGGCTCTGAGGGAGTGTACGGAGCTCTTTACCACCATGGAGACGCTGGGAGAACACGACCCATGGTAACGTTCAGAACAACTGCAGCCTCATTCACTGTCAAACTAAAACGTTTGTCGTATAAACACCATCTTTTTTGAATGCAGGTATTGTCCAACATGTAAGAAACACCAACAGGCCACAAAGAAGTTTGACTTGTGGTCGCTGCCTCGCATTCTTGTTGTTCATCTGAAGCGCTTCTCCTACAACCGGTGTTGGAGGGACAAGCTGGACACCGTGGTGGACTTTCCCATCAGGTACGCTGGCAGGACTGATTGTTAGCATAATGGAAGAAGTTTAACAAAAAGGCTCACGTTTGATGAGGAAGATTGTAGCTTTAGATTCCTTAGAATAATTCACCTTTTAATGTCTTTCATTTTTCTAAAGCACTTTGAATTACCCGTGTATTGAAAGGTGCTATATACATAAACCTGCCTTGCCTTTTGATAGTTGAAGTGTAGATGCTTTTCGATTTTTAACTTGATAAAGATTCACGTTGTATCAGTTTTTTTGCCATTATATATGTTCTTTGGAAGAGCAGTGTTATAGATTATGGCTACTAAGTGATGCTCAATTGTAATTATCAGCCGTAGATACACCTACGTTCACTCCATTTGAAAATAGTGATTGTCATTTGAAGATTGTGCCTAAGGAACTGAGAAACAGTATTAGTGGCACGTTTACACCACCAGGGGGAGCTAAAGTCTAAAACTCAAAGAACAAAATGACTCGAGGTCAGAATGAGGAAATACTCGTTCTGTACTTTAAAGAAATGGACTTTGGCTTCAGGAAAGTTGCATCATACTTCAAAGAACAATTACACCTTTGTTCTTATTTTCCTTAACTGTCTTGTTGCGTAACTTTTATAGCTCAGAAGTAGTCTTTCATCATAGACAGACATTTTGTCTCACTCGTGGCCTTGTGCCAGTTGAGAAACTTGATCCACTAAGAACCAGTAGGCTTAAAACGTGACTGAAATCCAACTTTCCAAAAAAATGCTGAGTCATGCACAATAGACAATGTTGGCTTAGACAAACAGTAGGCCCATATGCTGTGTTTTACAAATGTGATGGTGCCTGAATCTAGTTTTATTTTCTGGGTATTTGAATTGAAATGACTCAGTTTCAGTGTGATGGCAATTCCATTTTATATTCCTGTGACTGATTATGTTTTCTCCATCAGGGATCTCAACATGTCGGAGTTTGTCTGCGACCCCAAGGCCGGCCCCTTCATGTATGACCTCATCTCCGTGTCAAACCACTATGGAGGAATGGGAGGGGGTCACTGTAAGTCACATGTTGTCATTTGAATCTCTTAAATAACACTTTGCCTTCTTTTGGAATAGCCAACTTCACTCCATATATACAAACCACTAAGGGCTGTTAAAAGCTCATTATAACAATAAACTGGTATTTTCAGTCAAAAATATTCACCCTTTAGTGCCAGCACAGTTTGTTGTTTAGACTTTAAAAAGACAAATGGTATGCCGAACAACAACTGTGTCTCCTTGGACACTAGCCAGTTACATTTTAATATGGCAAAGTGCCTCAGGCCTCTTTGTTCTCTGTTGACTAAGTCTTTCTTTGAGTTAGCTTTGTCCATTCCTGGTGAGCTGGTTTGAGATCAATATCTCTTCCTGGATAAACAAATGAACTGAAAAGCAGTTTGTTTAACACTTCTTCCCCTCTAACAGACACGGCGTATGGCAAGAATAAAGTGGATGGAAAGTGGTATTACTTTGATGACAGCAGCGTCTCCTCTGCCTCAGAGGACCAGATTGTGGTGAGTTTTCACTCTTTATTGTTAATACATGTTGGATTAAGGTCTCCCAAAAGATGCAGCAGGGATCCTTGCGTGTTCATTTATCAGTGACCAATGTTTGAAAAAGCCTTCATGGCCTTCTGTCCTTGGTGTCGAGTGTTTTTGTTTTGTAATGGTATCCATGTCGCCCCTTGCAGACTAAAGCAGCCTACGTGCTGTTCTATCAGCGCAGAGACGAGGAAGCCCCCTCCTCCAAACCTCAGCCCTCGGCCTCGCTGGGAGGAGCCCCCGAAGCAGCCGAGGATCACATGGACACAAACTGAGGAGCCCTGGGGCCAAGGGACACGCACTGAAACACATACAGCAAATAGAGACACTCGGGCGCACACACAAAGCTACTTTAGTGACAGAGGACTCCGCAGACTTAACATTATTCACCCTTCCTTCCCCGTATTTTATTTGATTGCTGTCTCGTATATTGTCCACTAGAGCCAACAGCCATGTCAGAAGAGGGACCTGAGAGACTTCCTCCCTGCAGCGGGCGGCCCACTGATTTCTGAGTATAGTTTTACTAGTCTGGAACTAAAGAGGAGTGTAAATGGATAGAGATCCTCTCACTGGATAAACAGAATGTTAGAAGTGCCCTCACATGCGTAGATGAATAAAAATGTTTCTGTTGCTAACAACAACAGTCAAAATCAAAAAAAAAGAAGCCAAATGCACATGTTTCAACCAAAGCGTTCAGAGGTTTTTATGATGAAATGTACCATCTGATCAGACATTAGCAAGATACTGGCCTGGGTTTCACTCTTCATAGTCTTGCTGGGCTGAGGTAAATGCTAACTTTAAACAGTGTGATATGCACGCAGAACAATACATGTTGTTGAAAGAATCCTGTGACCTTATTCCACCTGTAGAGTGGATCACTGATGGCGGATCTGGCTGCCGCGGTCTAACTGTGGCGGCTGTTCTTCTTGCTCTGTAGAGCAATCTAAACCACAGAGGGGATTTCTTTATAAAGGAATCTGCATCCCGACATGAGTTGGGGCAGAGGCGGTTTTTGTTCAGCCATCAATTTCTTCTTCTTTGATGCACAGAATGGGCTCTGCTGTCTCTCGGACCCTAAACTCATGAGAGGAGTCTTACCCTGCTACTAATGTTTATTTACCCCCTTTTTTTTTTTTTTAAAATCTCAATGCAAAAGAGGCCTTTTGATTCCTGCAGCCTGACTAAAAAAGGGGGCACTTTGAATTCTCCATGAGTACATTATCTACCTGCTTTTGGACATGACAGATTTGTAGGATTTGGCCTAGGCATTAAAGTTTACAGTCTGTCATTCACTTCCACATCATTTTAATGTGTCTTATAGGAATATTTTGATTGCTGCCTGATCGGACCCCTAGTCTTGTACATTAATGCAGCTCTGTATTGAAATGGCTATGTTATTTGATATCTTTAAAGCACACTGAGTGAAGCAAAAATAAACTAGTTTAAAAGTGGTGCTTTTATTCCTGAAGCTTGACTTGCTCCTTGTGAGTAGGAACAATGTACATGTGTCATCAGATGGGGTCATGAGAGCAGCACTTTAACAGCTGAGTTCAGTCATGTGCACCCGATTTCTTTGCTTCCAGAGATCATGGACATAAGGCTGTCTTAGTTGCTAACATAAAAGAAGAATCCCTTTTTTAGTCTTTCTGATTTGGGTCATTACATACAGTTATCACAGGAAGCACAGTTATAATGTGTCTCAAACATATTTACCTATAGTCAGTCTCAAGGATCCTCTGTGAATCAGATGGCAGTTAGTACTAAATGAATCTGTTTACTGAAGTCTTGTTCTATGGCATAAATTCTGCACTTTTTTGCATCACAGCATGTTGATATGCAGGACCTCCAAGTGCCCTCTTTGCTGGTTGGTCCTGACCATCATGTCATTTTCAAAGTGAGCTACCTAAATATACTCATTCAAGCCTATGCTTAGAAAAGCTTTACCTCATTTTAGTAATCTTAGATACTTCTTTAAAAACAATGCTAAATGCTGAGAATCTTGTTTTCCCCCTAAATCACGACAGCAATTCAAACTCGAACATAACCATAGAGATGTAAATGATCACACTATTGAAAATAGGTGTATAAATTCTTGTCTTCATATTTATCTTATTGCCGATATCTACAGTATTTGAATTCAAAGTACAATAAAGACTGGAAGCCTCAACAGGGTGGTTTGTTTGGAATAATTATATGCACCAAACAAATAGTATGAGACCAAACAAAAGCTGGGACTTTTCCAAAGCCGGTGTAATGTCAGTAGTGGTTGTCTAATAACTGTATTGCAAAATGATCTTTATTTGCAGGTGCTGCAACTCATGCCGAACTGATCTGATTACAGCCAATATCCTAGATAAGAAACTTTATTTGGAAAATTACAATGGTTCCCTGATCTAAAACCAATATAAAAGAAGGTCAAAGTAAGAGCAGTGTTCAAAATAACAATAGCAGCATTACATCTGGCATGGTTATTATTGAGAAAAGTAGAATTTTCATACCGGATGTTCATATAAGTTTTGTATGTTCTCTAAATTTGACCTTTGAGATTAATTTTAAATAAAGAGTTAATCAAAAATGTACCATGTTAGGTTGGCGTATAACATTGTATTACTATGAATTCACAGAGAGGTAGTCAGAAAACGTTTGAAAAAATACATTTATTGGTCCCGAAACACAGCTGTGCTATACATGCACACAGTGCAGCTGCAAACATTCAGCCTTTTACATTTCATCAGGTACCCCCCTCACAACGAGTTGGTTTCAGAGGATGCCTTCATGTAGTAAAAGAACAGAACACAGCCATCACCGCGTATAAGAGAGCACAGGTGGTCTGGATAAGTGCTGTACACCATCTACAGAAGCTATGGAGGGAAAAACAAAGGTGACATGAAGGTCACACACATTGTGCTGGTGCAAGCTGTAGGGTGGACAGCATTTTGGAGGACGGCTTCTTTAGTTGGTCTGGCTGAGGAGCTTCTTGATGTCTCCCTCGATGTCGCTGGTGAGGAACATCCTGCTGTAGCGCTTGAAGGGCACTCCATCCGACCCGATGAGGAACTTCTCGAAGTTCCAGGACACGTCGTTCCTGCACACCGGGCTCCACATGATCAGCTTGGGGTCGGTCATGAGGGAGGAGGGGTCGTCGCTGGGGGCGGGGAGCATCTCCCTCAGGAACACAAACAGGGGGTGGGCTTCTTTCCCGTTCACATCCACTTTCTCCAGGAGCTGAAACTTGGGCTCAAAACCCTTTCCAGGACGGAGATACTTCAGGGACACAAGGATTTCATCATTCTTGCAGTTCTCCTGCATGGGTGGATCAGAAGAGTATGTGTCATTCGGGGACATTTAGCAGAGGGGTTCAGATCACTAAGTCTCCTTGATAAAGTCTAACATGGTGTCCCTATAGACATGTATTACATATTTATAGTGGTGTTTAGTGATCAGGAGATACTCTCATGGAACATTAAAGGTCTGTTAGAAGTAGTGGAGTGAAAAGCTGGACTGAAAACTACGTCTGACATTACTACTTCAATTCCAGTTAGTATATAAACCCTTGCTCAAAGTTTGAAATTGTTGAGGACAATTGTATTAATGTCTCCTAAATAACTGCAGCTTAATGTATTGGTAATCTGATAAGTGAACCATTCCTACACAGAACAAACATTTGGGTTGCCTCTGTCACCAGAATGTTCTTTCTCTTTTTCTTTAACAGTCAGTGGGAGGAGAAAGGATCCCTCCTCCCTGCTGAATATTTGAACCATCATGTCTATTAATGAGTTACTAATATTGATGCCATAAAAAGATAAAGAAAGATAGTAAAATACATATTTTATGCGGTGTGTATTATAATGTAAAGCAGAAAAACGTGCATGCATGGAGTTACAAGTGTGATGATACATGGCAGTAAGTTCATATAATAAACCAACCAACACAACTAAAAGGATCAACCTAAAAACAAGTTTGGCTTTTGTTAGGTGTTTGGTTACCACCCATTACCACATTTCCTCTTTCCTCTAAATCACCATGTTGAAACTGTCACAGGAACTGAATTATTCAACGGAAAAAACCCTTCAAATTGTAGGTTTACTACGCACATTTGCAACCATTGTCTTACTTAATGTATTTAATAAGATGACTATGTCTGTAGCATTTACATAATAACTTAGTATAACAATAAAGCTAAACCTGAAACAAGCTAAGTAACTTTTAAAATGTAAAGCAAGTCTCAAAAAGGAACAAAACTGCCTCAATTTGACAAATTATAATTACATGTAATTTACAATAGCTGTATGGTGTTTTATAACTGGTTAACTATACTGTATAGTCTGAGAGCAATACATCTATTTCGCTTTGAAATTATTTTAGAAGTCAAGAGAATTGAATAAGGACAATTCATAAAATACAAATAACCACAGTGTGGCTGAAGGTCGATAAGACAGCAGATCTGCTGACGGTTATCTCTCACCTGATGGCCGAACTGGTTGCAGGGCACTCCCAGAATCACGAGCCCCTTCGCGGCGTACCGCTCGTGGAGCTCGTTCATCTGGGTGTAATCCCTGGTGGTCGTACCTCAGAGAGAAGCAACATTCTCAATGAGGACAACTTTGCCCTTCAGTGAAGATAAATTAAACGTTTCCCCCGTCAGTAGTTTGGACGAGAAGTCGTAAAACTTCGTAGCCTTTCTTGCCATGGTAGATACTTTTCGTTTTTTATTGGTCACACACTACACCTCAATATCCAAGAAAACACTGCCTGCTTCAATTTCTTGAGCAATGCCATAGACTGCAATCCCTATATGTTCAAAGACACTGTATTTGTTGTCAAGATAGTTCACACCGTGCAGCCTGTGGGACGGCCGCTTTGAAAGTTCCAGGTTAATACCGTCACATTCATATACAAAAAAATACAATAATGGTAAAAATGAATGGAGCCTACTTATAGAGATAAGTCCAAGTTATTACATGAATAACCATAGAGGCAAACAAAATATCCACTTTATTTGGACCCCAAATCCCAAAGGCCTATGCATAATTATGCGGCACTTGAGCCCCTCAGGTACACCTTTACACGTGAATTTGTGCACCTATGTTACGACAGATAGATGTGTGTTTGTTTGTGTTGGATGAGCATGCGAAGTCTCGTTAAGTTCTTAAATCATTACGTTAATGAGTTCAAACGTCATGAGTAAACCATGCTTAGGCGAAGAGCAGGAAATGGCAGTGAATCAGCTCAATCAACTCCAAACTCTTCGATGTGGTTGCGCAGGTACGGAGCTCTGGGGGTTTGCATGTTTCTGCACACGGCGTATCCCGGATCAAGTCTTTGTGACTAAACAAGTCGACAGTTTCAACCCCGCCCAAAAAAGAACACATGGTTTGATAAATACATGCAACCCAATGTAAGAAAGTTAGAGACCATCTGAAACATGTTGTAACGGTTGTAATGTTAACGACTGATCACTTTAAATAAAAAAATATCACCAAAGATAATTCAGTCAACAGGCTAACTTATGACGCTATTATAAATATAATGTATAAACATATTATTCTCAGACATCTTTAGGTTTTAAAAAAAATTATATTCTGTTACGCTAAACTCCATGAAGATGATCCCTAACTGCAGTTGGTGACGTTTTTAAGCACATTGGCGCGTAGGTTTGTTTTGTAACTTCAGTCTCTGGGATTGTACATCAAATCGTCGTCTGTGGGATCGTCTTTCTATTAAAAGTATGTCTCACTTTTATCATTATGAATGTTACTGACAACATACACTTGTTAAAAAGCCAGAACGTTAAAGCATGTCATGTTTGTTGTATATTTTATAAATGACTGGATTAGCTGATACCCTAGCCAAAGCATAGTATTTTAATGTAAATGTAAACAACACGTTAGCTTGATTGCTACTGTGGACGCTAGCCTGGTCTAGCACATTAAACACCTCCTGTCTTTTATATTTTTTCAGATGTTGCGTAAAAAGAGACGCTCGACTGCGGATAAAGTAGAGGCAGCTACTACGAGCACTAGTAAGCTTTATACACAGCAGTTCACATGTATGTGTCAGTACAGGATTTCCCTTTGAAGTTCCTGTACGTGCCTACTATGATATAAAAATCCCTAGATCCCGACTGTATACTCTATATTCTATTTCATTGAGAGGACAGCATCACAAGTTTATGACAGTGATCTGACAGAACCACTGCATGTTTCCACCACACTGACATGATTACACCAGCCAATAAACCCTTATTAACTTATGGCACCTTGACACATTTTCTAAAACATCTATATGGGCAGCCCAATACTGTGATACTGTTTAAATTAATCGCACATCAAAACTGTTTTATTAAAGAGTGTTTCTCTTATCTTCAAAGAGGCGAAGAAGAGTCGCAGCACTGGTCGCCAACCAAAGGAACCTGCTCCAGAAGAGACCAATGAAAGTGTGTTTGGTGTCTTTCTTCGAGAGGCAGGGGTCACCTTAAAACAAGGTGGCACGTCCAATGAGATTGGTAAACACACTCTGACCAAGTTCAAAAACTAAACTAAGAACATGCCATGCCAGTAAATTAAATACATTTTTCCACTTCTGATTTTTCTGATCCAGCTGTCGACCAAGTCGTTTTCCAAAAAAGGATAAAGAAACAACTGCAGAAGAGTCCCAGGTATCCTGGAGTAAGTATACACACTGGAGCTGTGTATTTGCAGGAATCTGTTGATATATTCATGTAATGATGAGCCGTTAAGTTACGATACATTGTGATACTTTAAGTAAGGCAATATATTGTAATTATTTAAATCAAATTTTAGGAAAACTTATATAAAGACCAACCACCATATGAATGCAACCTGAGTTATGCAAATAGGAGGATTTCCATTTTGCATGTATCACATTCCCTGTAACATTCAGCAACCGGAGAGGACACGTACACTGGTAGTGAGCATACTGTATATCTACACATATTATGAAGTATGTTTAATCTTTGCAAGTTATGTTTCTCTGCCATTTCTTTGCTCAGATTGTTCAAGAATTCACCGCTGGATTGGAGTCTCATATTGAAGAACCTGAGCGGTTTAGGAACTGCCTTCTTCCATGTGTCCCACGATTGTCTGATGGGGACTCCAGGTGACTTAAAAAGAAAACTTGATGCTAATAGTCTTTGTGCATGTATATCCTCCCCTGTGTGTGTAATGTGTGTAAACACAACAGATTAATAAAGTACGTCTTCTTCTAAAATAGAAGCAATATTAAAGGTGGGGTAGGTAAGTTTGAGAAACCGGCTCGAGATACACTTTCCGGCCCGGCTAAAATAACTGTATGGCCTACCTGCCTGTCAGCCTTCCATCTGTGCACAAACTTATCTCGTGCCCTCATTGGTCATGTGCGCGTTCGTGTGTGTTGGAGGAGGGGCTCTGTAAGGAAGTGGCAGATTTTTTCCGGCTGTGTTTTTTCCAATTCTAGCGCACTCAAGCTGGTTTCTCCAAAATTACTTACCCCACCTTTAAGCACAACTTTCCATTCATAAAAATACAACTGGGGCGAGAATGATGATTATTTTCATTATGGATGATTCTGCTGTATTATTTTCTTGATAAATCAACCTGGTTTAAAACTTGAGGTAGAAGTTAATATTCAGTTAAATGTGATTTAGAACAGGCGAAAAGCAGGACATCTCTTAGTTTGAGAGGCCTAGAAACCATATTGTTCTGCAATATTAGCATACAAATACATAAATGAAGAATCAGCTACAGGGTCTGTTTTCTTTCCCTCACCTACATCTTACAAGAAAGACCTGTGATGTTTGCGGATGACCAGCACATTGTACAGTCAACATGTACCCTGTATTTGGCAGGTCGCAGGTGTTCTTTTTATTCCTTGATCAATTATCAGTTGTCTATTATTTTCTAACTTATCAATAAGCTAACCTTTCAGCCTAAACCGAACCTGTGTCAGTAGTCTGACTGTATGATGTGAAGTACTGACATGTTTTCTTCTGTGTTGCAGTTGTGTGAGCTCATTTCAGGAAAGTCTGCTCCGCATGCTGCTGGGGATTGAAATCCTGCAGGTCAGATTTCCTGCATATATTCTGTCAAAGACAACTGCATCGCTCTTTGACAAAATAAGTCAAACAGCAAGATGAATTCAAACAGTTATTTTTCGGCACACAAATGCAAAATGTGTTGAGAAAAATGTACAGTATTTCTTCCACAAATCCTTAATCTGATTTTCCTTTTCAATTAGACCCCTATCATCAACACATTGATCGAGAAAATCCCTGAATTTATGCTTGATGGGTTAGTATTTTAACGAGCTTACTTAACATTATTTCACCATGTTATACACTTCGCCTGTTTTTCTAAATGTCTTCTTGTTCTGTCTTTCTCAGAGCTGGAGATGGAGGGCTCAGTATTCCTCACATAATAATTAACCAGCTTAAATGGCTCGACCGAGTTGTGGACAGCAAGGTAGTCATTTCTGTGACGATAGGTTGCATGTGCTGTAGTCATAACAGTTTCTGCTCCTCTGTTCCATTACACCTGTAATCATGTATCTCTTCTTCAGTCATCACTCATTTCTAGACGGTGATGTGTTTATTTCTGCCTCCCTGTCATGCGCAGGAGTTGGCGGTGAAGCTCATGGAGCTGGTGTCAGTCGCACCTGTGGAGGTCCAGCGTGACATCATCACTAGTCTGCCAGAGATACTGGATGACACCCAGCACAACGATATAGCCAGAGAGCTCAAGTGGGTTCTGTCAGTCTGGATTGCAGATCCTGTGGTTGTTGTTCAGAGTGATATTACTAACTGCTACTTTCATCTCTTCTGTGTAGCTCTTTACTTCAGGAGAACACTCAGCTGACTGTTCCCATCCTGGATGCCCTCTCCAGTCTGAACCTTAGTACCTCATTACTTACTGAGGTACTACAAACACACACCCATACAGAGACACAGGATAGTACTGTCACCATTACCAATACCTTGGAAAATACTGAATACCCTTTTGAATACCTCAGAAAAGAGTTACAGATCACAGCATTCTTTTTTTAAAGATTAACATACAAGGCTATAACATGCTAACCACACACATTTCTTTAGTAACAGATGACAGCAGAATGAATAAAGTAAACATGAACAACTTTCAATTCTCACTTTATTTCAGACTGATAACAGGGTTCATGCCAGTAAGGAAAATTGAGAAAATAAAACATATGAGATAAACAGGGTTCCCACGGCTGCTGGAAATCCTTGAAAGCTCTTGAATTTGACTTTGGAAAAGGTGTAAAAACCCTGGATAAAGCCAGTATCGAGACATATATATTTTTGAAGGCACTTGCCTGCACCCTGTATCACAGTTATATTGGATAAATTATTAAAGTTCATTTCACCACGCTGTTACACGTCACTGTCTGCCCTCTCAGGTCCGTGGAGCCGTCATGGCCACTCTGGCAGCCGTCCAGCTGGAGGACCTTCCTCTGGTGGTGAAGTTCATCCTGCACTCTGTCTCAGCCTCTGATGTCTATGAGGTGAGAGCTCAGAGTCCTGTCCACAGCATTTAGAAAACACCACATGGTCGTTTTTAAAGTCATATATTCTGAAAATCAATGTGGCATGTGTTCTTACCTTGTGTAGGTGGTGTGTAGTCTTCGTAAAAAGCTGGAGTTGGAGCAGTGTGTTCTCCCTCCGGTGCTGCAGGCCTCCCAGAGCCGCATGAAGAGCAAAGGATCCGCAGCGTAAGACAACACAGATCCCCACTCAAAACTATGATCAGTTTATTTTGTCAGGAACAAATTGGTAGTAGGTTTTTGATCTTTCATCACTTCCATCTGTTTTCGGAGCAGGTCCTCCTCCACAGCAGCAGGCCGCCGCAGCAGCAGCAGCAGCAGCAGCAGCAGCCAGGACAGCGTTGCCTTGGTGTTGGACGGCATCAAGTCAGCGGTGCGATTCCAGAAAAGGATTTCTGAGGCTTGGCTCAAGGTGGGAAATGAATCCATATTTTAGCCCCCTTATATTTGATTGATTAGTAAATGCTCGTTCAGTCTTCTCAATTCAATTTGAGAGTTGCTTACTTAACTTTTACTGTGGTGTTTTTCATCAGGCAATAGAGTCTGTGGATGAAGCGGAGGACCATAAGGTGGGTGTGTTCTCCTCAGATCAGGGTATTGAGTTGGTTTGTTTAAAAATAAAGCCTTGGATTCTATTCTGTGCGGACACAAGTCTAATTATATGAACCACTATTCTAAAACACAAAGTAAAAACATTTTGAAAACAGTTGTTACTTTATAATTATTATAAAATATAAAAAGATATCATGCTGTGCACTAAATATCTTGAAAACCAGTCACAAAGTCTGGACCCCATAGACATTTTGAAGCAGAGTCATATAGGAACTTTATTTGTATGTGTCACATTTACACTATATGCTCCTGTGGGAGTATGTATCCCTGTATCTCTCCCTTAAAAAGTGCTCTGCCATGTCAGGTGATAGATGTGCTGGTGCTGTTCATCCTCCACTCCACCAACGCCAACCAGAGCCGGCGGGGGGCGGAGCGGCTGGTGAAGCTGAAGGTGAGGGGGGGGCTGATCCAGGAGGCCCTGCTCCAGAGGACCTTTAGAGATTACGCTCAGGTGGGTCAAGATGAAATATAAACGCAGAAGCACTGTGCACTTATACTGCTGTAGTCAACATTTGTATTTTAATAACATGTTGTATTAATTAATGATGATTCTGTAGGTGATGCGAGGGTATTTCCCCTCCATCCTGGCTCTGGCTCAGGGTCTGCTGCGCTCCCATGACCCCTGTGTGGTGCCCTTTGGAGGACACATGTACCGACACTCATTCGCTGCTTTTGACTCTTACTGCCAACAGGTGGGTTTAGGATTAGTTTGAAGGAATATATACAAACCTGTTTGTCAGTTGTGTTATGTCTAATAAGTCATTTTCATTTCTTCCTGTATTGTGTTTGCTAGGAGGTGGTTGGCTCTTTAGTGACCCATGTGTGCAGTGGTGTGGGGGGGGAGGTGGACATGGCTCTGGAGCTGCTCTGCGGCCTTGTTACAGAGAAGCCTTCAGAAATGTCCCTGTATGCTGTTTTTGTCAAGGTAAGAGGGTGACTCGTATATATCTGCTGTTGGAGCCGCTTACCAAATCACACTGAAACAAATGTATGAATGAAATATAAGCAACATGAATGTATGAACCAACAGCTTGTAGCTAGCAGATATATCCTGAATATAACGTTTAGTATCTTACCATTACGTTTGGTTTTTAACTGAGCGCACTCTTTGATGCAGGGAATCTTGGACTACATGGACAACCTGACTCCTCAGCAGATCCGCAGGCTCTTCCACCTCCTGAGCACTCTGGCCTTCGGACAGCAGCAGCAGGGGTCTCTCATCCAGGTGCACTCTCACAAGACCGTTCAGGCTTTTTCATAATTTCTGCTCTTATTGCAACAGAGTTACTATACACCAAAACAATAGTAAGCAGTGAAAGATATAGTTTAAAACTAAAACTAAAAAGAAAAATTGCCTTTTAAGAAAAATTACATAAAAAATGTATTGCGTGGTTAAGATAACCGTATGAAATTGAAACCAAAATGAAGGTAAAATTATTTCAGTTTTAGTTTTTTTGAATCGCTTAAAAAATCATAAATTTTTGTGAACAACAAAAATGTAACTCACTTGGCATTTCTGGAAATGGCGCTATGCTATTGCTTTCCAACTACGTTAATGCCTGTTGTTTTCAACATGAAGTTTAGTCTTTTAAAATCCAACAAGAACATGATTTCAATTTTGTGGTCGATCAAATGCCATTCAACTAAGCAGTCGGGTCCTGTCTAATGTAGGGCTGCTTGATTATGGCAAAAATCATAATCTCGATTATTTGGGTCAATAATTGTAATTGTGATTATTAAATGTGATTATTCATTGACTTTGAAAACATCCATTTATTGGAGAATATTTGTTTGAATAGTATGCTTTTAACAGTTGATTACTCTAAACTTTAAGTATAATTCAACTGAAAAGCCAAACATTTTTTTTTTATTTAAAAAGTAATAATAATAATAAAAAAATTAGCGTTTTATTTCAATTACGTTGTTTTCATAATCGTTGCAAGCCATAATTGTAATCGCGATTAAAATACGATTAATTGAGCAGCCCTAGTCTAATGTTAACATTGTTTTCTTCTGAGTGTGGTAGGGAAATAATTCTAGTTGACTCCCAAATCAAAAGATTTCATCATGGTCATTTCTATATATTCTTTCAAAAAAGGGTTTGTATGTTTATGTAGATACAGTACTTGTGAAACGGTATAACTATCACTAACAAAAACAAACTAAAGCTGCTAATAACTGTAATAACTTCTCCCCTCAGGACGACATGCACATAGTGATCCGCAAACAGCTCTCCAGCACTGTGCCCAAGTACAAGCGTATCGGCATCATTGGTGCTGTCATGATTATAGGCAGCATGGGGGCCGCCAGGTAAGGGGTGGTGGTACTCACGAACATAAGCAGTTGTTTCCTTGTTCCTTACTTCACTTAATCCTTCCATGCCTCTCTCTGCCTCCGACTGCCCCAGACCTAAAGTGAAGGAGTCCCAGAATGGGTTGTTGCCTCAGGAGACGCTCAGACAGGTACACATGAAGCATTAGAGCAATCAGAAAAAACAATGTATGTGTTGCAGTTATGATGTTCTTAGTAACTCATCTTGTGCTGTGACCTCCCTGTCTCAGAGGTCAAGCAAAAACATGATGGTTATATCTCCTTCAAAACCATAAAAAGGCTCATCATTGTCAGCTGATGAGGAGTATTCTCTCCACTTTTGTTACACCTGCCCACAGAGCAGAGCGATTGTACCTGCAGGTGTCTGGTCTGATGGTGTGTGTGTGTGTGTGTGTGTGTGTGTGTGTGTGTGTGTGTGTCTTGTCTCAGGTGGCAGCGCTGTTGGAGCTGGTGAAGTCCAGCAGTGAGAGCTCAGCGGAGGCTGCAGCTCTGTACTACGATGAACTGGCCAACCTGATCCTGAGCTCCATCCTAGACCCGCAGGTGCAGGTGTGTCTGAAACCAACATGTATCAAACTTCCTTTTTTAATAGCTCCTCCCATCACTTTAGTAATGGGCTACTTTTTATGAGGGTGTCCAATCAGTGTTGATGGTAAATTTTAATTTAAATTCCTAAGTGCAGAGTTCTCAGCTGTAAAATCTCTTCTGTTTCCTGTAACCATCAGCGTCAGGCTACAGGCGTTTTCAGTTCAGAGTCAGCTGTGTATACCTTCTAAAAAACAGGACTTTCTTGTTCTCGTTGCTTGTTTTGCAAACTGGCTAAGTGTATAACAGCATAATGGCATCTGAAAAATGACAAAAAATGTACATTTGACTGTAGAGCCACAATAATACGTTGACAGAATTGATAGGTGATGGTCAGAAAAAGAATTGACAGGATTTGTTTCCTGGGTAAAGACAGAATCTGAGGCTGTAGCTACATAAGCTTTGCAGGAGGATATGGCCAGTCGGGGACCCTCAATGCCCCACAATGCATCTTGGTTACATGTAGGCACTACCACCGCTTCCCCCAGCAGGAGACTCAGCTTTCTCAGCGGACACATCGACCTGCATCTATCATAAGACGCTATTAAATCATGACTTATCATTGTGGTCTTGTTATTTTCCTCCTAAAACAGGAAAAGATCGGAAAGACTGTCCTCGATGACTTCCAGGATGACTTTGTGGTGGATCTAGGGCCAGACATACTGGGGTTAGTGATGGATATCTGGCAGCATAAGCAACTTGTTTTAATATACTTCAAATGTCATTAATCTCTCGTCTTTGTGCCTCTCAGCTCTTTCCCCTTAACGCCCCATGTGATATACAACCTGGATGACGAGGAGAGTCAGGGAGGCATCGCCATCAACCTGCTGCCTCTACTGGCCACAGAGCTCCAGAACAAAGGAGAGCAGAAGAGTCAAACACAGAAGGCACACAAGTCAGTCACCCCACTCCCACCACCATGATATATGTATATATACATTTCAGTCAGTTGTACAATTTCAGTATATGTTTATATATCTCACAAACATGCATGTAATCAAACAGATGTTTTTTTTCTGTATTTTGTGGGGGCAGGCGAGTGTCTCCTCTCTGTCTGTCTCCATTCTTTCGCCTCCTGAGACTCTGTGAGGAGAAACAGCACCAGGGAGACCTGGAGGAGATCGACGCCCTGCTGGGTGAGGAAGTGGAAGCTACACATTTCTGGTGGACATACGACACGATACGATAATTCTTTATTGGTCAGATCAAGTCTGAAATGTGACTTGCATCACAGCAGCTCCATGTGTAACCTCAACATAGATAAATATAAAGACACAATACATGAAAAACAAACATGGAACATAACAGCACAATCACTGAGTGAAAACATGCTCAAAGAGCCTTTAGCGTGGATTTGATCTGGGATTTAGCTCTGTATTTACTGTGAGGATTGACTGATGTACAGAGGATGCTTCAGTCTGACTTTAATGTATCGCGGTAGGGCTGCACAATTTTGGGAAAAAATGTAATTGCGATTTTTCTGACAAATATTGCGATTCGATTCGCGATATATTTTTTTAAGCGACCCAACGGAAGTTTATTGTAAAATGCGGCCGTATCTCCGGCTAGGAAGGTCGCATCAACGTGCTCCCGTCTCTAGCACCCCCGCAGCCCGAGCTACGAGTGAAAGAACTAAAGTTACATGAAACTTCCGTTGGGTTGCTTTAAAGTCAAGCTTCAGTTCAAGATTCACCCTGTAATAGATGTAAAACATGTGATGGAGCATTACTAACCTGACTCAGGTTTGTTTCACCAAACCATCTAGGAAAGCTCCATTGGAAGCCATTTGGAAAGGGCAGGCACTTTCAAAAATACTTGGCAGATGATTGGATCAATCTGTCTATCACCTTCTATCATGGGCCACTTCTGATTGGTTAACAATGGCTGGTACATGTNGCTTTTTAAAAAAAAGAATTGTTTTTATACAATATTTTTATATTTTTATAATTCTGCAAATATTACGATAAACTCACAGCTATTTCGCGGCCCGGTAGTAACACCGGGGGGTTGGGGACCCCTGACCTACAGGGCCGCCCCTGCCCAATCTGTGTCGCGAGCGCGGGGGGGGGATGCTAGTGGACTAAACTGTGGCGCGCCGCATAAGCGCATAATAGTGCGCCGCATTTGCGCTTCAGATGAGGAGGTGAGCCCCACTCATAACTGCATGAACCCGTATAGCACAATTCAACTCAGACTGGCTTACCTGTACGTCAATCAAGTGGCAAATGCCATAGTAAGGATGGATGATAGGATAACTTTAAAAACATTAAAATTAAAAAAATATTATTATTATTATTATTTTTTTTTTTTCAATGCCATGCGATCTACCCACACTACCTTTGCGATCAACGTATTGGGCACCCCTGCTTTAATGTGTCTGTTTGTATTTGTATTTTTCAGGTCTGGATTCAGCCAGCCAGGACAGCGGAGCTTACTGAAGAAGGCTCTGGGGGTTTTGGCTGAACGACTAAAAGAGGAAAGTGCTGAGTTGACCCTGGAGCAGCTTGTAAAGTGAGTGATAAAGCTTAGAGGCAGAAGTGTAACTACTGTCAATAAACCTTTTTTTTCTTTCTTTAATCTACCGATCTATTTGTTTATGAAATTCAACGACTTTGGGGGCCTCAAAATTGAAGTAAATGCAGTATCCTTTTTGCTCAAAATGACAGAATTACAACAAAGCACAACTCCAAATAACTGAATAAAAAAACACTCTTAATACAAAAGAGATAACGGTATTTGTAATTGCCATGGGCCTAGCAAAGAAGAATGGACATTTGCACTGGTTCCAAATAACAACGTAATATCAGAATTTTAAATTGTGTTTTTTGTCCCTCTCTGTTTAGACACAGCTTTAAGTACCTGATGAACTTCTGCAGCACAATGCCAAATCTCAGCACAGCCCTGACCCTCTCCCAGCTTCTGTCCACTGTGTCAGAGAGGGGGGGGGACCCTGCTGCCCACAGAGAGCAGACCGGTCAGTCGTGACATGTTGCCTCACTAAATCCAATTTGTCTGCTATCCAATGGGCTGTGATGATAATGTTGGATTTTTCTTCCCAGCCTCCCTTGCCAAACGTTTCCTGGGCCAAAGCTGGGTGACGGCCAGCGGAGAGAAGGAGCGAGGGATCAAATTCAATGAAGCACTACATACAGTCCTAAAGTGGGTGTGCTTGTCAGAAATGGCCATCTTGGTCCAAGAAAAACTTGATTGCAAAATGGATGAAAAGCAGACATGATTCCTGAAAGCCTTGCTGACACTTTGGCAATGGAAATCAGTTTATCAGACATATGTTGCTGTGTATGATAGACAATAAGTAAAAAAGTACAGAATTGTCTCAGATATATTGGTAATTATTTAGAAATCCTGTTGCCATTACATAGTTTGACCACCAAAGAGACACGATTGGTAGTATGTTCCACTGTGACATGTTTCTTAACTAAGATCAGCATTATTTATAGGTCTCAGATATCCACATTGGTTACAGTCTTAGAGTTCCAGTATGGGTCGGACTAGCTTTATTACTCATCTGCACAAAGTCAATAAAGTAAACTTTCCCCAAGGATTTAATGAATTTGTATCGGGAGCATCATCTCTAAAGAACTTTACAAACATATTTATGTTTCTAAATGAGTCTATTGTACGTTTGCGTTCAATGCAAACCAGTGCAGTGCTGTAGTAGAAGCAAACAAAAAAGCATAAAGTGCCCACCGAGCTGTCCATCATATCCACACCAGCAGTTTAGGGAAATGATGGTAACTCATAAAGTTGGTATTTTTAAAGCATTTCTCTGAATAAGAACCTAGCGCAAGCACGTTTATAAAGTGCACAGTTTCTTGTAAACAGTTTTTATCATCAAATATGCGATTTTTATAGTTGTGAACAAGCATCTTAATGTTCTTAACTGTGATATCTTTGATCTTTTCTGCTCTCTGCAGAATGTACATGGCGCATGTTGACGATGTTCTGAAGGCAGTGGAGGAAATAGCTGGAGAGGGAATCCCTGAGCTCATCAAGGCAGCGAAAGACGAGAGCTCTGCATCATGGCCCACTCTCAACAGGTAGACCCTCATCACCATCAGTTCATTGTATTCGATATCTCGTTGCAAAATAAAAAGTTGTTAGTGATTATTGTAAAGTAACTTGGATTGCAGTTAGATTGTACTTTATCCTGTTTTTTCTTCTACTTCAGGCAGACTTTCTTGGTGTATTACAAGGTGATGATGACCGAGCTGGAAAAGGCCATCAGGAAGATTCCTGCCTGCAAAGTCAGTGACAGCTCTGAGGTCAGCCACTGGGGGTCGCACTGCACAATGAGCTTTCAAGCATACACGCACTTTATACACAGTTGCTATTTACCTTAGAACTGAATATAATCAGAGCCACAAAATACTAATACATCTGTCTTGTCAACATTTATACTTAATTATTCACATAAGTGAGACTATGCATTGTGTGTGCGTTTGTGTTTTAACGATAACAATAATGTTCTCCTTCAAGGCTCAGAGCGAGAAGCTGCTGATATGGAACCTGGCTGTCAGAGACTTTCACATCCTGGTCAACCTAGGGAAGGTCTGTTGGCATCATCTATTGGCTGTGAACCTTTGTTGTGCTTGGTTTGACATTGGACCTCATCTATTTCCAGCATTAGCTTTATATTTGTTGTAATACTTTTAATTGAATCTCATGGCTTTTATCCAATACAATATGTTTATTCAGTTTGGTTCATCTGCTCACATGTCTTCCTAACTCTTCTTATAGGTGTTTGATTCCAGGCCGGTGCTCATCGTGTGTCTGAAGGTGAGTTAGCTGTGTGCGCTGAAAAAGATTCATGTGAAACTGCTATGAATTTGTATTAACTGATTATAATGTTTTTGTAGTATGGCCGCCTTTTCCTGGAGTCTTTCCTGAGGCTTGGAATGCCACTTCTTGATAACAGCTTCAAAAGGCACATGGTACGCATGACAAGTAGTATATGCCTTATTAAGGTAAATGTTAAAAAATTGAAATTGTGCATAAATATTGCCTTAAAAAACGGTGAAAGTGATCTTAAGTAATTTACTTTGATGTCATTAACTTCTGCAAACAACACACAACTACAGCATTCTTGACTTAAGTGAGTTTGCCCTGATCCTGATTTAATGCAAGCCAAATATTTTTAATATATTATATTAAAATACAAATACTAAGACACAAAGTAAGAAAAGATGTTTATACATACACAGGATTTCCAAGCTTCTCCATGAACAAGTTGATTCTTTTATAATATAAGTGCATGTTTTCTTCTTATGTGTCATACAAAAAAAGAGCTGCAACAAGTAGTTAATTGTCAGAAAAATAATCACAAACCTTTCTATAATCGATGAACCATAACTTAACCTCTTAAATTCCTACCTTTCTCTGTTTTCTATATTCAACTGAATAGCTCGTAGCTTTGGACTGGCAAAACAAGGGATTTGAATGCATCATCTCGGGCTTAAGAACTGATCTGCACATCTTTTATTATTATTTTATTTTATAGATGAAATTATAATCCATAATGGGAATAATCATTGGTTTCTGCCTTGATTCAAACATGGGTTGGCATGGTTAAGCTCAGAAATAGACGTTCTGTGTTGTGAAAAACCCATGTGAAATGAAGTGTTGCCAGTTTGATGAATGTGTGATTCATGTTTTTCTTTTGAAGGAGGATGTCCAGAGCCTGCTGAAAACCTTTCAGCTTAGCACCCGGCAGCTGCATCATATGTGTGGATACTCTAAGGTAGCTACAGAACACGCTGTCTCTAGCCTCTTCATTTCTAACTCTTTAACTGGACATATCTCTGAATGTACTGATGCCAAATGTACCAATCTTTGAGGACAACATATTCCTTTTGTATTAAAGTGACAGCCTGTGCATGTAACTCCTTTGGTGTTCTTTAACTAAGTTGTATCGTCATTATGTGTTGCTGCTCAGATGAACCAGGATACAAGCCTGACCAATCACGTACCAGCCTTGAAGAAGAGCCTGGAGCTCTTTGTTTACAGAGTGAAGGCCATGCTGACGCTCAACAACTGTCAGGAGGCATTTTGGATTGGCAACCTGAAAAATCGAAACCTGAAGGTACAACATTTGAATTTGTATTACTTTTCTCTCTTAAATGTATTAAAGTAAATTGCCTAAAGCAACGCTATATGCTGCAGGGTGAAGAGATTCTTTCTCAGCGGTCCCACGGAAGTGAGGATGAGGACGAAGAAGAGCAATCGCCGCCTCAGGAGCAGTCAGAGGATGAGGTACCTGCCATTTCCCGGCTTTACATTCACATCTGATACAGAAAGGGGATTGTCTCCCTAATTTTGAGAAATAAATGAGAAATAAAATGTTTTATTCTTTAACATTTGGTGTAAAAACTACAGAGAACACAGGTTTAAATGTTTGCATTGTTTATATTATAATTAGTATTCACAGTGGTGTGTTTCAAAACAGCCTGGAGGGAATTTTGGAGATTAGAGCCATAGAATAAGATCAGAGAGTTTACCTTAAACAAATTCATAAAACAGGGGCAAATGAATAAAAACTTTTAATAAACCTGAACAATAGATGTAAATAAACATATAGTGTAAGTAAGCGTAAAGTGGCTGAAAGGATTAGCAGGAGTGGGGACCATAATACAGGTTTTATTTGAAGGGATAAGCAGCTCACAGTCATAACACAGTCAGTTATATAAGCCAGCCAAACAACAGGCTCCACTGCTGCTGAGTCGGTCATTACTTTGTGAAGGTGAACCCATACAGGTCAGTAAACAGGCAGCTGAAAGAAGGCTGATAAGATAAATTGTTAGAGCTTTAAAGTGGACCTATCATGCCATATTTGAACAATATAGTGTAGGACCATACCTATATAAGGCATATTTATACTTTTTATTTTTCAAAATACCAAACAGATCATGCATTTTAGCCATTCCTCATTTCGCTCAATTTAACACTGTCTTTGCATGGGCTGATTCTGTGAGAACAGCACCATCTACAGGCCTGGCATATGTACTACCAGCGCTTTCGAACGGCAATGTCCGTGGCTGTCTCCTCCTGATTGGTGGAGTTGGCCCAATAGCCGTAGCGCCACTTTTGTGACGTCATAGAAGTGTTCAAATCTGGATCAGTCTGTATCAGATCCGTTGCAGCCCCTTTTTAAGAGATTTGGGTATGAAGGAAAATAGAGAGGGTTGTGTTTTCTGACACTTGGTGAGTTCCCTGGAACACCGGGGACACATTCATGTATAAAAGACGTACAAAAGTGCATTGTGCATGATAGGTCACATTTAAGCAAGCTAATGATTTGTTTGTGACTAGGAAACATTTGATATGATGTTAGTTCTAAGACCCTGTGTTATGTAGTTTCTCTATAATGCTGCTATATGCAAGCAGTTATTGAGTACTGAGGTATGGCACTGCCAAACAGGAAGTCTATTGTTTGACCGGTTCTCTAAATATGTGAAGGCAGGTCATACATATGGACAGACAGAGATTCTGCACAATACAGGACAACAATGTTGTTGTTACAGGCCAAAATGCACTACATCATCACTTATAGATCCCCTGCCATACACCAGCCAAGTGGGAAGCTGATCAGAAACGGTTCTTGAGAAGATGCAAAGGACATGCACAGCGGCGGTTCTAGACCAATTTTACTGCGGGGGCCCGGTTGGGGCCAGTTATTTCATGAGAGGGGCACAATAAAAGATAAAGACAGTATAAAGTAATTGTGTAAAATAAACATAAAATACAGTAATTGGTATGTGTTTTTGTAAAGGTATTTGTTTTTAGTAAATGTTACAGTCCTTTGTTTCAGTAGTTTTTTTCATTTAGAGTATTTGTTTCAGTAACTTTAAGTTACAATTTAATTAAAAAACATAAACAGTATTTGCTTTTATATAAGGTAATGAACAGTTTAATCTCCACTGTACACCCGGGTCTCTGATTTGATTTAGCTCCAATAAATCGTAACACAGGGGGGTCCCTGGTCAGTGTTACGTGGGCACTCGCCCCTGTTGAACCGCCCCTGCATATACATGTTCACTTAAATACAGACAGGCATACAGGGAGACTCCCTGCTTGAAATGTTTGCCAAATGTTTCTCATGTGCTTTCTGACAGGCCCAGGAGATGGACTCTGAGGAAAGTACGAAGGTCCACAGAACGGAAGATGTGGATCAAGATGATATTACAGATGACTCTGACTAACAGAGCAATCAACTGTTGGTTTTTATTTCAAAGTTTGGCATCAAACTTCCATTTATCGACCAACTTTTCAAGTTTCAAAGGCCAGTTCTAGTGCCTTTTTGCATAAACACTTTCTAAAGTATGTAAAACTGTTTCTCAATGGGCAAAGTGCAGGTTAAAGACCAATAATGTCAATATAAAATCACAATTCATGTGTTTTTACTAAAGTAGTTACGACAGTGTTAGGCAACATACAAAAACATTGCTTTGTGAGTTGCATTGATGTGCATTTGCCGTTTTTCGTTTCTGTTGAAGATAAAGCGTGCCTAATAATTAGGTGTTTTCATATTAGATAGGGTTCTTGAAAATTGTTTAAATGTTTGATTCTAATTGTTTGCCGACAAAATAGAATACAGATTGTTGCAAAAGTGTTTCTGTCTGTTATGTCTTTAAGTATTAAATATATTTCTAATGCTAAAACATCTAGGATCTGTTGTCTTTCATTGTGTGTGTTTTTTTTGCAACTGCAAGTCTTTTCTTTTTTTATAACTACATTTTCACTGAATAAAACACTGACATTATTCCTGGATTATCCCATAAAGAGGGTCAGCATTGATAAACTCACATTGTAATGAAAGGCAAGATGTCTTGCAGACTCATTTGTGCACATGTAAAAACAAGGTTTTTGTGACGATTTAGAGTTTTTGAACACCAAAGCCAGGATTTACAAAAACAAACGTAACAGTAGAATAGATCATATTATATATTTACCCAGACATTTGAAATGAAGAAAATATATTTCAGAAAAATATTTAGTTCAAGTCCTTACAAAACAAGCTTTTAAGGAGTATCCGTTCTGCCTTCATTGCTTTTACAGTTTAATAATGTTGAGAATGTTCGGCAGGAAAAACAAAAATACAACATATAACATAATTCTTAATGTGGATATTCTGTTTTTATAACCTTAAATCCAAAATGCAGCTGGCAATACTCAATTCCATCTGTCCCCTATATGACCTACACAAAGGAGATGGCATCATCAAGCAAGTTATCTTTTTCGGTGTTTAAGGAAAAAAATCACCATAAAGCATCATTAACATTCTAGTTCAAGCTATCTAGACACTAAAGTCAACATTTAGAAATCAACATGTTCCTATAAACTCTTCAGGAACTGTATTCTTTTGGAGTTTTTGCATTATTCAGGTTGAGTATCCAACCTTGATGGTTGACATCCCCCCACTGATTTTTGTTAAATGTTTGGTTCTTCCAAATATCAACAAAGACAATGAAATGAACTTGATTTCCCCAAAAACATCTTTGTATTTCGATTCATATTTTGTTATTATTACATAGTTTGGTGAACTTCATGTCAGCAGGACTTTACAATACTGGTTGAACAAAACCTCCAAACTATATACCCTAAATTTAGCATTGATAGCACCAACATCCTGCATGGGAATCAGTGAAAGAACTACATATTTGACTGAAAACACAGAAGATCACTTTAACAAGCACTCTATCAGCTTTCTGCACAGCTCTTGGGTCAACCCATGGTTGTGAAAAGGGGGGATTGTATGCATGAATGTGTGTTCTATGGTGAATAACTTAATTTTAAATTAAACTAAAAAAGTGATGTCTAATGATTATATCTATTTAATATTATGCCGATATATTTCTCAAGTATGATTTATCCGTAGAAAATAATCGTTCAACAAAATACATTTACGTCACCCCTCTCTGTAAACGAGAATAGTATATCCGGGAAGCATGTTCAGTGTTTGGGGGAAATACCATAAACAAACAGTCTTTCTTGTCAACTTGGACGCATTTACCCCTTTCGTTTTCGGTTATTGTGTTCTAGAAACACACATTTAACACCGTCTCTTTTGTAGCCACGGTTCTTGAGTTATTGTTTGAAGCTGCTGGACCCCAGTCTCGGTGTTTTTACCCGGGAGGAGAAGATATTCGTGCTAATTGCCCGGCTGCAGCTGTACCGCTTTGAGAAGAGACGATGTCTGATTTCATTCTGGTGGTCCTGTTAGTCGTGCTCCTGGTGTGTTTGATTGGGACAATTGGTGCCTTAATCGTTTACTCCGGACTACTGTGTGATGTGATTATAAAGACTGGGCCACCTCCTGTCAAAAATGTTACTATTGCTTATAAGTTCAACGAGGGATCATACAAGGACTGCGGTGCAGCCTACACCGAGTGCTGCAGCATTGGGCCGAAGCTGAGCACCGTGGGGGTCTTCTACGATGACCCCAAACAGGTGAGACCCCAGCCCCTGTAGTCTTACACCACAGCAACTTATCTGTGGTTTACACTTGACCTCATGACATAACCACAAAGCACTGTGTACCTTGTTTCCTGATAAGATGTTGGAGACAATGAGATATGCCTCACTTGACCTGGCCAGTCTTAAAGGTCACAGAAATGGTTGGATATTATGTAAGAGTTGAGATTGTTTAGTATACTCAGGAACTGTCCTGGCCTAAAGTCCCTGAGATTTGATTGTGTAATGTAAATGGGGCTTGAATCCCAGAGGCCAAGTTAGCATCCTTAAATAGCTTATTTAATTAGCCAACAGTCCAAAACCCGGATTTATTTCCCATGTTTTATATGTGACAAAGAAAAAGATCAAATTGTCATATTTAAAAAGCTAGAACCAGCACTTGTTTTCTTTGCTTTAAAATGTACTTAAGCAGTTATCAAAATGGTTGCTTTTGAACCTTATGTCCACCAATTTATCTATTAATCTCTAAAAGTGTAATGAGCTTTATATTTTGTTCAGATGAATGAATAATGAAATTGTCTATCTCATTAGAAATGGTCCTGTCTGAATGTCCTGGAGATTTGACATGGAAGTATAATGTGCATCATGACTTAATGTAATTCACTGTAACTCAGCATATATGGCTGCAGGAGTTAAATGTACAAGCACCCTTTTTAAAGAAGTGAGCCTGGATGATGAAACCAGTCAGCTGACCCATGCCACGTTGCACTGTTGATACTTTTTCCCTTCACATATGTGGCTCCAGGGTGCTTCAGTCTTTTTTTCGTCCTCTGACTCAAAAATGGTAACCAGACTTTAAACTAGGAATGCAAACACACCGTCTTCACATGTGTCTGGAGAGAGCTTATACACCTGTCTTTACACTTTTTAGGTTTAGTCTGAATGGTTATAAAGTTACAGTCACAAGCCAGACACCAAAATCAATGGATCTCCCTGAGTCACTCCGAAGCTGATCCTAATCCAAAACTAATATGGAATGATTGAGGATTTCCATGGCTGATTTGTCTCATACTTTCTTTTTCTCTTGAATCACGAGTTGTGTTTTTAGTAAACAAGAAATGTCTGCACAACAGCTGCTTGTTAGACAGGAGTGTTTATTGGACTCCCAACTGATGCGGGTAGAGTACACATCAGATACAAATTCACAAAGGCAAAACAGCCTATTTATAGTAAATCAGGTTTGCTCTTAGCTTAGCTTGTATTGTGTCCATTCTGGTGACATTTGAGTGCTGAGTTTTTTTGTGGTTTGGTGGGTTGAGCCGTTTGACGTGAATGTGGCAACAGAGCAGCTATTTGCTCATCAGCCAAACATGCAAAGTAACTTAGTCTGAGTAGTTGACAGGGGGCACAGACTAAAGTTAGTGAGTATTTTTAGCTCAATTGTGTCTTGCGGTTACTGCTTTCATTTGATCATTTGTGGATTAAAGAAGGTGCCACACTGGCAGCACTTAGTGTTTGTCTTTCTGCTTACCCCTGCCAGGTTTTCTGTACCCAGCTGTCCTTTTTTAAGTAAAGGCTTTTAGTGGAAACCATGACTGTGAGTCAGACCAGTGGAAAGTTCCTGCATGAAGCTTAATTATGTTCTGCATTCAGGTTGTGTGGAGAGTCTAGATTTTAGGAGACCATTATAGGATGATTCTGTATGGATCTGATGACTGTTCATGGGGTCTGTATCCATTTTGAGATAATCTCTCAACATGTATGGATCTCTAAATTCCTTGGGGAGTTTAGACGTCACATCACTGAAATAAATTAAGTATCAACATGTTGTCATTAGCTGAAGTGATTCAAAGTTAAGGAGCCCTAGTTTTAAATGGTCAATTAAAGCTTTGTCTCAGATAGTCGCTAAGACAAACATTTCTACATTTTTAATAATGAAAAGAAAGGATTTCATGTTTGCTGTTGTCAATATTAGTGTCCTGACATGGGAATGGGATGACCTTCTTTGTTTACAAAGACCAAGGGTCTCATTACTCGCCACCAGCCACATAAATACACTTAATGAGAGAGAGGCTAAATTAGGCCTGTCACAATAATTAATTGTGTTGGACGATACATTTTTCTGGAAATTATTGCGATAAACGATAATATTCTCGGCGCCGTTTTAAGACCATTTTAGACATAATGATAACATATAATAATAATTCAAGTACATCCTTTCAAACATAACTTTTTATTGAACATTCAACATTGCAAATGAAATGTGAAATAATATTAAAATATATAAATTATATATAATAAATAAAACAAATTAATTAAATTATAATAAATTAATTAAATCACACACAACCAAAACAATAAATTAAATAGTCAGGCTGGAAAACAGCCTGACTATTGAGAGACTATGAGAGAGAGAGAGCTCTGTTTTATATATATATAAAAAACAGAGAGCTGGCAGTCTGAGATATATATATATATATATATATATATAAATAAATAAATATGAGCACACATTATCTCACAAGCCAAAAAAAACCTCCTTAAAACAACAGTCAAGTGTACAGTCCACTGTCAAAGACCCAGATGCCTCAACAGGCCATATCCAAATCTGTTTTTCTAAGTTTTCGAGCAAGGAACACCAACATGTTTGCATTGTCGGGCGGGGGCTCTCCATCTCCAGCTGCCGTGTTTGCTCCCAGCTGGGAAAACGGAATGGGGTGGTTGTGTTTTAGGTGGTTTAAAATGCGTGGAATTGCCTGCTTTTGTCGCTACCTTTTTTAAACCAATGCGACACACCGCCCGGCTCATTCAAGTCCGTAGGTTCGCCTCGTTGATTTGGTTTGAAATCCAAAATACTGCCACACCGGAGAATCGAGATGTGTAGGTTTTGTAACCAATTCCATTTCACTTTAAATTCCCCGCGAGTAAGTCACACGTTGTCTCCCGCTTGTCGCTATGTTATTAATTTGGCTGCTACGCTGCTGCACGTGCACGCGGAGTGTCCTGACCTGGCTGTGTGTCAGCCCCGCCCCTCACAGCGCTCCAGGCTAAAATGCTGGTCACATCTTTATGTAAACGGCAATTTATCGAGCTCAGAAAAGTTATCGAGTCCATTTTTATTTATCGTACGATAAGTCAATTTATCGATTATCGCGACAGGCCTAGGCTAAATTGGATATCATTTTGATCAAATGTGAATACTGAGAAAATGAAAGGGTCAACTTTCCTTTGCATAATTTACAGCGTACTTTGCAAC